CGCAATGTCCTGAATGGAAGAATCCACCGCTACTGCAGTGATGCTTCGTGAAACATCCGATTGACCCATGTAGTGAAAACAGGCAGAGGCATTTAGGCCCAATAGGTCTTCGTTGTTGGTCATTATGGTTCTCTTGAAGAGTGAAATTTCTCTGAATCTATGTAGGTAAGAACAAATGAATGAATGAATCAGCACATTTGTTTTCAATAGAAGAAAAGAGCTTAGACCTTCCAAATGTTGCCTAAGATCCAACAAGTAGAATGGAAAAACGGAAACGTCTATTACTGCAAGAACAAACAAAAAAGAGTGATGCCTTCAAGTCATAGTATACAGTATATAATATACAGAGAGCTCGTTTCGATGGCTGGCGTTGGTATGGGAGGGCCCAAAGAGAGGCCAGATGGTGTACGCGTATTACAGTATCTTCAGTCTGCAGCAAAATCTCAGGACGGCCGGGAAATAGAAATTTAGCATACAATTCTTGGGAGTAAATATTGATTTTCCCGGCCGTCCCAGATCTTGAGATTTATCTGAAATCTGAAATCTGATTGATTCATTCATTCGTTCTATCTTACTTTGAACTTAAGCACCCATCATTATCATCAGTTGCACTGCACTGCACTGTCACTCATCATCCCATTTACCATTGCAGAATATCACAGTCCCTTCTTAGTGCCTTAGCATTGGCACCTAGAGCACCTGTCGCGCTTATTCCTTTTCCGCCATGACGAGTGATAACAAAACCATCGCAGATGGTTCCAAGAAGCGACCAGCGTCAGGAGCAAGCGACAACAAGAACAACAACCAAAGCAGTCTAAAACAATCCAAACTTAGCCGTCCACCTGCTGATGACAAAAGACTTGGAAACTACATTGAGACTATCAAAGACGAAAAGGAATGGTTCCATGAACGTGTAACGGATGTGGAAAAAGAGAGCTCCAAATATATGAAGATCAAGTTTTTGAGACGAATTGAAGATTTTTTCAAAGCGACTCAAAGCCATCTGAAGGTCGACTTGGCTCATTTCTTGAAAACTGGAGAAACTAAATTGATCGTCGCAAGTACTGCAGCAACTGCTTCGCAGCGGGTGGCAAGCATTGAGTTCGACATTAATGCCAGCAAGATGGTGTACAAACGAGACTTGACCGCATTCGTGGACGCGGTGAAAAGTCTCTTCGACTGGAAAGAAAAAGGGTCAAAAGTTTACATGGCACCGTGCTTTCCACTGCTACAATCCAGCGGAGCTGGCAAGACCAAACTGCTCCACGAGTCGCGATGCTCCATGGCGAAGGATGACCCCGATGTCCACGTGATACTCATTCTATGCACGAACGGAAAGCCTCCTCCAGAAATGTCGTCTCAAAACGGCAGCATTTTTTCCGAGACTTTGGACGTGAGCCAATTTCAAGTGGGCGAAGAAGGTCAAAAGAAGCTTTGGGAGAAAATGGTGACCTTGGTTAAGACCGAGAAGAAGAAGAAGAAGGTTGTATTGCTCTTTGACGAGGCCCAGCACCTAACCAGCAACAGTGATGGGTGGCATTTCCGATGCATACGGTGGTGGCTCCGATTGCCCGATAAACCAAACGGCGTCAACGTGGTTTGCGTGTTTGCGGGTACCACCACCAAATTGGCAAAGTATTATGCGGAACAAAAACAGTCAGCTTCCTCGAGGGGTGCAAGCGTAGAGTACCTTGGAGGCAAAAAGCTGTACCCTCCGTTCTGTCAACTTACGACGACAGGTCTTGTGTCACGCTCTGATGGATCTAAATTCGGAACCGTAGGTGTGCGGACCAGCGACAACGACAACAACATTGTCACGGAGTTTGATGTCGCCACCCAATATGGGCGGCCCTTGTTTGGACGATTGCAACTGAACGGAAAGTTGAAGGATGCGCTTGGAAATATCTTGCTTCGAATGAGAGGTGCGGGCCAGGAGCTCTCGCTGCAGAAGTATTATTCGCTCTTGGCGACGCGGCTTCAAATGGGTCAAGTGTCGTTTGATTTTGCATCAGAACTAGTGGCTTCGGGATACGCACATCTGACTCACTATTCACAAGAACAGCCTGCAGTGGCCGAGATTGCGTTTCTTCCTGATCCAGTTTGCGCATGGCTTGCAATGACACAGATGATTGAGGACTGTAACCTGTATGAGAACGTTGATGGTATCTCGATGGGGTGTGGCAAACCCCCATCTGTCTGGTCGGAAAAGGCCATCAAGATATACTCTTCTGCATTGTGCCGCCCTGAAAAGGGAGATGTCGGTGAGGTTGCAGCTGCCTTTTACATGCTGACTTGCGGAGATGAATTGCGGTCCAAGCAATCGGAAGAGCTCACTCAGCTTTCGGTTCCGCTAGAGGACTGGATTGCAGTAATGGAAAAAGGCAAATATAAAACTGCTCTCAAGACTGCTGTCAAGACTGCGGAACCGAAGGCAAGTGTCAATTTCATTCAAGTTTGTCGGAACTATTTACGTTACAATTTGAAAGAAATTCAGGATAGCGGACTTCTCAAGCATTGGTATCTTGCTGGACGAGCATCGTATGCGTACGCTTCTTGCCACGCGTACGACATATTGGTGCCATTGCAGTACACCGTAAATGGGGCTTTGCATTACTGTCCCATGTTGGTGAGTGTAAAAAATCGAGTGGCATATAGTCCGAAGCAACGTCAAGCGGCGATTGAGGCAATGGAAAAAGTATTTACCGTCGCCAACATTGAGACTGGAGTATGTATGCTTTTTCTCATTGGGCTCGACAAGGCATCGGAAGAATCGTCTTCTATGAGCGGTCCCTTTGGCCAAGGCAAAGTTGTTAGCACGACAATTGTGGTACCGACTGCAGATGGGTATGGGGCAACCAATCTTGCTTTGTGTTCGACTTGTGGCGGCGGAGAGGAGTCCGAGGTCATGGCGTCGCATGCAGACCTTGCGCTGGGAGCACAAGGTAATCTCTTGCTTCGCACAAAGAAAAAGAAAGGGGACGTATCCGAACAATTGTTGACCGGTATATCACAAGGATACCAAGAAGCTTACGATAGGAATCGCGAAACAACGATGGCTGCAAAGGCAGACAATACTACATAGTCCAAACAGCTGTTGACCAGTATATCACAAGGATACCAAGAAGCTTTTGATAGGAATAGCGAGGCAACGATGGCTGCAAAGGCAGACAATACTACATAGTTGAAAGAAACTGAGAATACCCTAGGACCTTTTTATGATGTTGCAAGTGGAAGAAGTTGGAGCGAGCTTGAATTTAAAAACTAGAAGCTTCTGTTGAATCGTCCAACATTTGATTTGTTTTCTATCCCTGGTCGTCGCAAGCTTGGTTGCCCAAGTTATTGGCTTGTTGTAAATTGTCACTGTCACCCGCAGAAGTTCAGGCTAATAATGCTGATGGGCAGACGTCACTGTATCGCAATAATGCAATCAACAATCTCTCCCTCTCCAATTATCCATCATTTTCAAGACTGTGGTTAGTTAAAGTGTCACCACAGTCGCTTGGATCTAGACTATTCCAATGCAAAATTTGACTGGGTCCACCATGTAGCCTTGGTCAGGATGAACAAATTTTCATGAGCTTGGACTAGCGTGGGTACTAGTGATTGACTTGAACTACTAGGCTTGTGGCGCTTGGCAGCCTGCATGAATTCTGCCATGTCATCATCCACCAGTGGAACGACAGGTGCTGCACAACAAGGCAATGGCAACCGTTCGGCAACACATCCTTCAGGATCTTGAGCAGAGGATGGGAGTGGTTGTTAAGGTGTGTATTGCAAGTATGATTCTGGAATCTTGGTCCCAGGATCTAAATCCAGCAACTTGCACCATTTGGATACACGGCCATCCCGTGACTTCTCTTAATCTTCATACACCACCACTTCTTTCTGTGGACGAGTCAAACAACGATTTGAAAAATTTGGCAAGACAAAAGTGTGGGGGGACTTTTCATTTTGCGACTTTTATTGTGTAGAAAGAGCTCGAAGCTCTTTGAGATTCCAAGGAATCATCGGATGGACTAGCATTCAGCAAATGAGCAGATGACATGTACCAAATTCAAAGTAGAAATGATACAAGACGACGGGTTTGAGACGACAATTGATTGCATCGACTAGCCATCATCAAGACCCCAATGAACCCTAGAAACGTGGAAAAAAGACAATACGCAATTCTAATTACCACTCGCTTTCTCGTCATGTAGGATAGCAATGACCTCATTCGATTCATGTGTACAATAAGCAATACTCTTGCCTATAGGTTATAAGAAATGGCTGATGTTTGTGTCAAATTTATTGATTTTTTATGTTTTTCTTTTTCTTTGATGAAAGTATCATCCTGTATTTATTCGACAACTGATGTGTCGTTTTATTGGTGTATTGTGCCTTGCATTCTATTTTCGAATATGCACTGTGATTTGACTGTAGCCTTGATTGTAGTATGTTTTGTTGTTTTGTATTGTGTTGTATTGTGTAGTATTCCTTATTCCTTCTGCAACTATCATTTCATAGACGTGTTGCGAAGAAGCAAGGTACCAGTAGCGGTGGAAAGGACATTAGTAGTGGCTCTCTTTTGGAGCAGTATCCTTCAGATGGAAAGGGCATGGGTAGTAGCTCTCTTTTGGAGCAGTATCCTACCAATACAAAGCTTTACTACTGCAACTATCATTTCATAGACGTGTTGCGTAGAAGCGAGGTACCAGTAGCGTTGGAAAGGATATGGGCAGTGGCTCTCGTTTGGAGCAGGATCCTTCAGCAAGAAACATAGTTTCGAATAGGCCGCAACCACAAGGTTCTTTCACGGAAGCATCCTCCTCTTTCAGGGTCCTTTAACATAGTCAGTTGCGATTGCAAAGTGTTGGCCAACATTTTTCTGACAAATCAAGGACACTGAAAAGAAGAAGATTGGTTCGAGAAAAGATCAAAGTGGAAGTGGTGGGTGTGTTCTCATAGGTAGAGAAGCAGGGCCTGCTTGAGCAAGCGATCGAAAGCTCTATTCTTGGCTGAGCAAGGTTGTCTCATCGTTGCTTCGTCGAATGACAGCCCATTCCCATTCGGTTTGAAACAAATTAATTCGAGTCCCAGGTATTTGTGCCTCGAGACGGAACGAGCGTTCAGTTCGCTCTCTCATCTCCTTGAACTTCTGGTCATATCGCTTCTTTGCCATCTTGCGCTTGTAAGATCCAATAATTGTTTTACCAGACGATGGTGGGTTGGTTCTTTGAGGACCTTGGCCAAGGTAATCACACCCGACCTTGAGGCAGAAATTCGGCAGTACCACAACCCAATAGTACTTGACTTTGCCAGGATACTGTTCAAGCATTCCCTGGACTGCAAGCTTGACAAGACTAGTCATGGTGCAGCTCACAATAGAAAGAGCCGAGATCCACATGCAAACCCAGCTTGAAAGTGCAGAGATCAAATCAGTAAAGACTCGGACCACGGGCTTGGTCGTTTCAATGCTTCGCTGGAGGGTAAGGTTGGCAAGATTCATCATGACGCAGATGAAACTTGCAAGTGTCCAGAGCAAGAGGAAGATCAAGTCAGCAAAGACTGGGACACACGTCTTAAGAGTAAGCTTGAAAAAACCTGTCATGATGCGGGTCAAGCTGGAAAGTGTCGAGGTCATGGCCGTTCCAAATGAGTAGATTGGAAGAATAGATGGCGACCATGGCATCATGTTTCCCTCAGAGCTGAAGGTTTGGTTCATGGGAAGATTGAGGACTTCTTGGCCCACAAATGCAAAGACAGGTGTGATGCAATGGGCCAAGGCTTCTGCACAAACTTTGATGATCAAGTCTTGCAACTCGACGATAACGTGGAGGTTATCATGGGTCTAGATCGAGACGATATTTTGGAATCCTTGGAGTTGGAGGAAGATTCCCCAATGGTTTCTCCTGAGTGGAGACAGGATGAAGCCAAACCGGATCTTCAATCGCTTTC